GACGAAGATTGGCAACAGTTGTTAGCTCAAGTGCCAATCTTTAAAAAAACAAAACAAAACCGATTTCTTGAGTCCACCTCCAGAGTTTTCTGGTTTGGTAAGTGTGGGGTGGGTCTAAGAATTTGTATTTCTAATAAGTTTCCAAGTGATGCCGATGCTGCTGGTCCAGGGCAGTGCTTTGAGAACCACTGGCTTAGAACAATGGTTCTCAAACTTAGCTGCACATCAGTACCACATCCCAGAATCACTAGGATAGCTTTTTTTTGGAGTACTGCCACTTGGGACCCACTACAGGCCTTTTACATCAGAGTATCTGATGGTGGCCTCCCTAGTTAATTTCTAACCTGAAATCATGTTTAAGATCCATCTGCTTAGAAGTAAAGAGAAAGAACCCCCCACATACACAGACACATAAAGCAGCAGCTTTGGGCAGAGTTTTTTAACCTCCAACCTCATGGTTTCCTCAAAGGTCTATAAATTTCATGAAGTAATATGCAAAAAGATCATATGTAACTGGGGAGGTAGCCCATAGCCTTCAACATACTCTCAAAACGATTGATGATTGTTCCTCCCAAATTAAAAATCATTAAAGAAGCTCATTCTCAGGCACCGCTGGCCTGCCTGCACAGTCTCTTACATCTCATACACGGCACCATCACATGTGTCTCAAAATCCCTTCTGCTCATACATTAAGGTTTCTGTGGAAAATATCTGCTTTACTTACATAGCTTCAAGGCCTGAAATTTTAATCCTTACATACTCACTTAGGTTACTGAGCATTTTTTGCAAAGTGCTTGTATGAAAGAAGAATCCAGCATCTATCCATCATTTACGTGTTAGCAAGAATCACTTTGACTAGGTTGGTTTTACACTCCCACATGTTTTTAAGTAATAGCCATGTCGAATGGGCAGGGAGTGGAGTGTGAAGAACTTTGAAGAGCTAAGTAGCGATCCACGATACTTAGAGAAGTTTAAAAACAGTAACACTGGGAAGCTGAAAGATTGAGGAAGCCATCTGGGTCAGTAGGATATGAATGAAGAAAGAAAAGAATAATTTTAACATATCCCAGACTGGTTGTGTTATAAACAAATGGATAGAAAACTCTCTTTCTTTTTCTTTTCCTCCCTCGTATTTATTGTATACAGACTGCTCAGAATCATTAACTGAGGAATAATACAATTTGCACCATGGGAGTCAGTTTTGAGCAATGTAAAGTGTAGCGGTCTTAGAGCAAGAGACAACTGGGTTCTAATCCTAGCTCTGCCATTTACTGGCCAGGTAACCTTGGGCAATTCAGTTAACCTCTCTATATCCAAGTTTCCTATCTGTAAAATGGCAATGATAATACTTACTTCATAAGGTAATCTTGAGAGCTAACTGAAAATTTATGTAAAGTACTTATTACAGTGTTTCAAACTAGCAAATGTTCAATAAATGGCTGTGTTACCCAACTTGGCTAAATTATGGGCCAAATAGGCATTTTGTGGGTTGGTCTAAAAATGTTTCTATGGGAGATTTCCATGTTCTAAGTGGTTGGCTTTGAGATGGTCTTCATTACACAAACATTTAAATACTTTAAAAAATCAATTTTCTTTTTAAAGGAACTGCTGATCTTTCCAACTGCCAATCCTTTTTATTTAGCTATTCATCTTTCATCTTAATCTCACAACGAATATAAACTTCTCCCTGAATTGAGAGTTCCTTTGGAACAAGGACTATGTCTTTATTGAATAACCATTTATGAGCATCTGTATGCCAATAACTGTACTTTAACATATATGTATGATACAGTTTCTTTCCTTATGGGGCTTAAATTCTCCTTGGAGAAAATAGTAGGCAAATACATCCAACATAATGTATATTATAATAAAGATATGTGCCCAGAGCTATGGAGCATAGTGGAAGAAGACATTCATTTAATCTGAATTGATAAGAAAATCTTCATAAAGGCGATGACATGTGAACTGGGCTAAATGTGCATCAAAGTTGACAATAAATGAAAAGACGCTAGGGAATAGAAAGATCTACATGAGCTCCCACTGTAGGGAAAGTTTCAAATAGACTATGGTTTATTTGGACCTTGAACACAGAAGATGAGGATAAAAGGTGGAACAGCTTGGCATGCATATAGGCATGTGTATAATAGTAAGATATACTACTAATAAATAGTAAGCTGGTTGGTAGGAAGCGAGGTCAGAGAAGTGCTACCTTGGAACTAGATTTTGCAGAGCCCTGGGAACTAAGCAAGGAAGTTCCCTGGACTTGGAAGTTCCAAGGACTTTATGCAATAAACAAAAAAATGAGGCATTATAGGGTCTAAAACCAAGGTCGATGTGCCATGGTGAAAGCACAGTTGGAGAAAGGTTATTCCAGCAGTGATGTTGTGGGCAGATCAGGTCATCTTGAAAGCAATTTCATTAACACAGATGTGCCCTGTTGTAGGTCTGGGCTATCGTGTCTTTGGAGAGCAACTGTAAAGACATAAAAGTGACATTTCATGAATATCCTCTGGGATATTTGAATAATAATGCCACTGACAAATATAGCAATGGTAACATGGAAGATGACAAATCATTTTTTAAGTCAACAAAATTTATTCAGTGCCAGCTGTATGCCAAGTATCATGTAACAATATATAGTGCTATCATACATATGAATCTATATAATATGTACATTATTTTTCGTTCAGCAGCTATTTCTTACTGTATATCTTATTTCCCCAAATAAATTATCCATTTCTGTTGGGTAGGATCTCATCTCATATTTCTCGTACATTGTAGACCCTATCACTCTAAAGGGCATATAGTCAGCTTTTAATAAAATCTTATTGTCTGGTTAAATAATTGAGGCCAGAAATATCAGAAAACTAGCACATGTCCTAGATGGAGTCAGCAGTGAAAGAAAATGGAATCCATTTTCCTTTATTGCTATATCACTTTCTAATATTGATAGAGCAGAAAAAGTTCCAAACAGTGCCCAGCCATTCTAGACGAGACTGCGGTTCAGTTTATCTTGAGGCGTTCAGCAGAACAAATTTTATGGACCTAAGACATCAAGGAAAATAGTGAGAAATCTTATTTCCTGTCTCTTTGGGTGTGTTTTTCACTTTAAAAATGTGATCTTAAAAGGAGGAGGGCTTTGGGAATAAGAGAGTAAATCAGTCTGATCTTTCATAGCAGCATATTTACTTCCCCAGAAAAAATGACTTTAATTGCACAGGAATAGAAAAAATGTTTGAATACCCTTCCTTGACAAGATTCAAGTCTTTCACGTGAGAATAAAATACACATTTGCAGTAAGTTTAGATTTGCGGGTAGAATTTAAAGCTCTTGTCCATCAATATATCATAATAGATGAATGTGACACTAGAATAATGGTGCTTGTTTGAGTACTTTTAGAAAGAGCAGTACAGTAAGGGAGTTAAAAAATTTAAGGATGTTTTCTTTTCAATGAAAAACAACACCTACTCAAAATAAGTTGGTGACTCCACGTTCAGAATCTCTGTCGTCGCTCTAATGTTCAGGAATGGTTAAGGAAGGAAAGAGAATCTCAAGGTCACTGGGAATAGTCTTTAGAGTATTCTTATAGGACTTATCTGTGCTCACATGCCTAATTTTTTTCCAAGTGCAAAGAATGGCCACTTGCTTGAGACAGGCCCAGTGCCATCCTTTATTCAAGTTCCTTTATACTCCTGTTTTTAAAGAAGCTGTCAAGTTCTTTTTTTGCAGCTGACAGAAAAGGCCAAATCTGTGGTACAGGAAAGGAGGCGCAAAAAGAAACTTTTTTGTGTTGATGTTTTACTAAGTGAGCTAAGGAGAATTTTAGAATCATGTAATTTACTCTGGAGGCATTTACTGTACATAGCTATAGTGATGGTAATTTCTTTCATTGTTGAAGTGAAAAGATAACCATCAATCAGTTGTCAATTGGTCAATTGCAGAAGTGATGAAAAGAAACTGGTAGGAACAATCACTTCTGTGGCTACCTAGACCATTTGGAGGCTCAAGAAAAGTATGGGAACTGGATTGCGTTTTAAAAAAGGATTGGACCAGATTTTCGAAAAGGTTAATAGGCATAATGTCCTTGTAAAGAATGGCTTTGTAGTTATGCATAATAAGGAGATGCATTTAAAAAATGAAAAATTAAAAAGACTTGCAGCTAAAAAAGTAGAAAAAAATTATTAAACTAGATATCAGGTAAGTAAGCCCCCAAAACCTTGAATTTCAGTGTGTTCTTAATGGAGGAAATAAATATAGCTTATTAATAACCCAACACACGTATTTTAGAACAAATTAATGAAAATTACTTTGTCCTCATGACTTAGTCTCAATATTGAGTGCTTTGAAATGAATAACTTTCCAAGTATTTATTATAAGAAATTGAAAGTCCAAGTTAATTTTGAGTACTGTTATTAAGCAAACATGTGCAAATAATTTAATTTTTAAAACCTATGGAAGCTCACATAAAGGTTAAGATAAGTTTGAAAATCATTAACTTGCATAAAAGGCAAATGGCACTTTGGGATTTAGTATTATAAGCAAGATTTCATTTTAATTTATCCTATTTTCCTAAGAATAGCAATGTTATTGATTTATTCTGAGAGAGTTCCCCCCACACACAGTGATTTTTTTTTTTTACTGTGGTAGGTAATAAAAAGGATTACAGGCCCCCAGAAGGATGAGATATCATCAGTTTGTAATCCAGCCCATGGTTTCCTAGATACCGTATTGTCTATTCTGTTCCGCTATGTGAAAAATGTTGAATATCAACAATGGGTTTCAGTGCTGTATTGTTGAGTTTTGTATGAACTAATCTAGCTTCACTAAGAAAAAAAAAGAAAGAAAAGAAAAGAAAGAGAGAAGAAAAAAAGGAAAAAAAAAAAAAGAACCACAGCTTTGCACAAAAGTCTATAGCCAGTGCATTTGAAACTCCCCTTGCACAAGGGCTGACTGTGGCCGGGGGAAGACAGTTTACTCAGTTGCTCTCTCCTTTCATACAGTCAGCTGGTCCCTCTTCTCAGGTGTAGATCACCTATTACCACTTCACCTGTTTTGATTCTCTGATGAGGAAAGTCCCAGGACTTATCAGCTGGGATAGGCCTCATTCACAAGACACCTCTGTATTTGGAAGGTAAGCTATTTGCACAACTTCTCTTCTGTAGTGTGCTGGCCTAGCTCTAGAACTTTGCAACATATCACTTATTTTTAACTTTCACTTTTTCTTCTCTTTTCTTCTTTTGGAGAAAGAAAGCCTGACAGGTTTCTCCGGAAAAGTGGCCATCCATGGAATGAATGAAATGTTCCCTTTCTATTCCAGTAAGTAATTGACTTGTAACTAAAAATTGAGCTGGCTGCTATGTCAACTGCAATGTGAGCTGCTGCTGGCACAGGTGTTGCTTACTCTTTAGCCTGGAAAGAAAAGGGGCTTAACCTGTGATTACATTTCAAGTCAATTGACCTCAACGTGATAGTACATAATTCTCACTTACCTACCAAGCGGCCTGAGTTCTCAATTTGACCCTGATTCTGGCACCTGCGTTTTTAATGTTTGGTATAGCTGAAGGTAGGGTTGCTCTTTTGGTTAGAAATAAAGTGGGTGGAGAACAGTTCTAAGTAAATAACAAATGGTGGTCAGCCGACTAAGTCTTTTAATCTGGTGCTCAATGTGTGTGGGGTTTAACTCTAAGTTCACGTAAATTATTACTCAAACTTTTAAAAAGTGTGGATTTATGAACAACCATTTTACTACTAGGGATTCACAGTAAATCCAAAATCTGAGTTATAAAGAAGCAAAAGATGTGAGAATTATGATGCTGAGGGCTTTCAAATGCTTAACTTCAATTATGTAACCTATCATAGGCTTTCTAAATATGCCTTACACTTTAATGATTTTTTAGCCCTAGGAATGAAATAGCAGCATTGCTTCTCCTAGTTTCGGTAAATAAAACAAAAGATTGATTAACCTTAGCAAAATGACCCTATTCGAATTTTGGAGACCAACCTATATCTACTTCCCAACAGCAAAATAAAAATCAATGACATCTGAAATTACCATTTACACTTAAAGCTATTCTCCATTCATTTTGTGTAAAACGGTTGCGTGCTAAGAATTGGTCTGTGAGAGGAGAGCCGCCATGGACTGATTTTTTTCTTCCTAATTTCCTTTTTAACCTGAGAATTAGAAGAAAGTGCTGATGATGCTTGCTTAACCCTGCTTTTAGTGCCAGGCTGTGACCAGCTCTCTGTGAAACCATTTCTGACCCTCTGCTTGCAGTGGTGAACCTGAATTTTTCCCCTTCCTTGCCCATCACTGTCAGTCAATTATAGGATTGAACTGAACCAGAAAATCTGGTACAGTCTGGTAATTAGTACAAAGGGTTTCCAGTCTAGTGTAAAGACAGAGATGCAAGAGCCCCAGCAGTCACAGAAATCGTTTTGATTGGCCGTGGACATCGCCTTTTAGTGCTGCTCCATGACTTCCTAAAGATATTGCCTCCTACCCTACAGGTCTTCTCCTTCAAGTACATTACGGACCTTTTTTAAAGTCGTGTGTGTGTGTGTGTGTGTGTGTGCATGTGTGTGCGTGCATGTGTGTGTGTTTCTTTTTTTAGATCCAACTTCTCCCATTTTTAGTCTGTCATTTTTGCCTATCAAACAGACACATTTTGACTTGCCCAACAAAGAACCAAGTTATCAACACTCACAGAAACTGACATTTTTAATTCAGCCTTCATTATGTCTTCGAATTATGACAGTGAAGTACAAAGACATTTTAAGAGTTTTTTCATTATTTTTTTTTAATCCAGCATTGGGATGTTTATCTTTCTTTAGTATTCCTATTTCCTTTTCTACCTTTATTCTCAGTAATATATAATTAGCATTATCAAAACCATCAGCTATTATCCTTTATGACTTTTGACCTTTATTTTTTTAATATGTCTCAAGCTAGCATTCTCTAAAATAAGTAAAAACTCCATGAGAGATTTTAATGAAATATTTTAGGGTTATAAAAACAATGAAATAATTTAAAACATGAATCTCTTTTAAACATCAACATTACATGACTAGGTAAGTAATGAGTTGTATGATAAAACTACAGCAGCAAAATAAATTTTAGAAAAATCATTTTGTAAATCAAACATGCATTTGATAGTAAGCGCAATTTTGTAATCTATATTTCATCATACATTTTTAACCACTACTTTGGAGTTCTTGGCTTATTATCAGAAGCTATTTTGGGATAAATTATATTTTTTTTGCAGAAGCAAACATCCTCTTTGATTATAGATTACAATCACTCATTAGTCACACATTAGATACAACAAAAGCGTTTGTAGCATGTCAATGTAACAAATGCCTGCCCCCAAAAGATAGATAGATAGATAGATTTAAGGGCAAATTTAATGTCTGACAGCGTGGACAAAACTGCAAAAGCAGCAGTGCCCAAAATAACAGAAGCAAAAGAAGGCACAAGGTTTTTCACTCCCAAGAACACTATTTTTAGAACCATCCACATCATGATTTTAGTTGGGATGCATGTGTTGTGAGTGTTCTAAAGGACTCTTTATTTACCCACATCTTAACGTAGCTTTAGATATCTGTTTTATCCTATGTACAGTCGTGACAAAAGTAGTTATGTTACCACGTCTGGTACTTATTTTTACATGTCTAACTTTGCTATTAAATTGCAAGAAGGTTAATATTGCTTTTATAACCCTCTCATGAGTAATGCATTTTCCAAGTAAACATGTCATAATTTTAAAGGCTGTTCAAGAAGCAGTATTTCTGTTGAAATAATTTTGCATTCATTTCTCCATTGTTTTTTTTTACCATAATATAGAGTAATACTTTGAAAAGAATACACATATTTATGTAATTAACACTTTTTGTTTTTAGCAAAACCTTGCCCATTAAAAACTAAGAGGGTCTTAGAGAACCATGTAAATGGGCAACTTTTCAGTGACAATTTTTTCATTCAATTTTTAATTCACCATCTTTACCTTGAAATGTATCCATAAAGTGACTGACTGAGGGAAGAGTACATTCTAGTTATATTTTTCTTCTTTTACTTTTTAATCTAAAATATATGTTGAAATTCAAAAGATGCTTGCCACATGTAGTATGGCAGTGTTCTACATTCTGTAATAGCTGAATGTTGTGTGGGTCTGTGTAAAATTACAGAGGTTTACAGGCTTTGATATGGACACAAAAATTCTTTTCTGCCTCAGTCTTACTCCTGGTGGCAGGTGTAAGACTTGGACAGAATCCTAAAGATTATCTAGCTTCATGGTTTTCAAACTGTATTCCCTTGAACTCTCAGGCTCTTTGGGGATACTCAGGGCTGTGGGAGGAGGGAGGCCAAGTGAGCTCTTACCTCCTTGAGACCACAGCATCTCTGCCTTTATCTTCTGTGTCTATTAGAGTTCCAGGTAAGATGAGAATCCCACACTGGAAGGGAAAAAGTAAACAATCAGTAACAGAGCCCATCTTATAGATAAGGAAACTAGAGTTTACTTAAGGTGGCACACGGAGTCAGTGACAATGTCAGTTCTGTAAACCAATCTCTTGTCTTTTATTCCCAAAATTCACTTTCCTAAACTACAGTAAACTGTCCTACACAGTCATGGGTCTTTATGTGTAGTCATCCTAAGCTATATTACTGAAAGCATACAGTAAGAGATCCATGGCCCTATGTTCAAAATCAAAATACTTACTGAAGATACTGTACCTAAGTGGTAAATGCAATTGAGTACCATGTTGTGGACCAAAATCAAGCCCTTTATTTGATAATATCATTAAATTTGGGTACATCATTGTGCCCCTTAGGTAAAATATTGATTCATCTATTACTTAGTAAAATAATATTTGGAGAGTATTTTTAATTGTAGTAAAAATACATAACATAAAATTTACCATCTTTATTTTTAAGTGTAAAATATTGGGTAGTGTAAACTATATCACATTGTTGTGCTTGGAGGTATCTTTCACAGCAGAAAAAATTAATTACGAGTTAAATCCAAAAGAAAAAGAATTCAAGGAAATAAAGTTGAATTAAGATGCTGCTTTTCCCAAAACATGCCTTATGGAATTCTATTCCCATAAGCTGTGCCGTGTATAAGAGTAAACTGGTCAAATAATTTTCAGAAATGTGGCATGCTATAGTCCTCTCTAGGAAATTCACAATGAAAATATGTATTTGAAGAACTGTGAGAAATCGTATTGGCAAGATCTTTTTGAACTTTGTGTAATATAGAGTATCCCAAACTATTTTTTCATAGACTTTCCCTACCTTTTTTGCAAAAAAAAAAAAAACCTATGTTTATTCTTCAAGGATAATTTCTTAACACATTTTGGGAAATTCTCTTCTAATAGAACCTTCACAGATTAAAAAAATAAAAATTAAAAAGACCTGTAAGGTAAGGTTTATGTTATTTATGCTAACTGGCTCTGTGTTTACCAATCCTTTATCCTCATCTTGCGGATAGGATATTAATAGACATCCCATCAATTCCATCATTCAACAAATATTTAGGCACAGTGCTAAATGCTGAGAATACAGTAATGACTAAATCTATCAGGGCCCCTGACCTTACAGAGCTTACAATCCTAGTGTCTAAAAAAGAAAAGAGAAATACAGAGAGCACAAGCAGTATTAGCTGTTTCTGGCAATCATAGCTTACCTGGGTATGTTTGTTTTGTTTTTCCTAATTCTAAAATTTGAGAAGAGGGAAAGAAAAATTAAAAAGCAGATCACCAGTTCAGAAGTTTATAATCTGCTCTTTGAATCGAGATATTCCATATTTTCCTGAGATCTACTTATGCATCAGCAATTTGATCTATGATAATTCTCTAATAATCCAAAGACGGGCTGCTATTGTTTAGAAACAGGGAGATAGGAAGGAAAGGAAGGGAAGAAAAGAAAACAAAGGATAAAGGGAGGAAGGAAGGAGGGAAGGAAGGAGGGAAGGAAGGAAGGTAGGAAGGAGGAGAGGGAGGGAGGGAGGGAGGGAGGAAGAAAGGAGAGAAAACACAATGTTTCCTGGTCTCTCCTCCTACTGTCACTCCTTATGTATTGTTGTTACCTTCTATATAAGACAATTTCTTCCAAGTGTCAGCTGAAGACCTTGTTTGGCCAACAATCCACATGTGGTCAGTGTCTTTCTAATAATGCAAGGAGTATCTCTCAATCAGATTCAACTCTTGATGGTAACCATCGGTCCTACCTCTGTCAGGAAATATTTGCTCTAATTAGCTATCCGAACTTCTCTCTCAGGCTCTGCCCTTTATGCTGGGGAATCTGTGTCTTCATGTGAGCA